AAGGAACAGACTAGAGAATCCAGAAATAAATCCATGCATATATGGTAGTTTGATCTCCAGCAAAGATGCCAAAGCAGTTCAGTGGGAGAAAGGGGAGTGTTTTCAACCACTGGTGCTGGAAGAACTAGATATTCATATAGAAAAAATAAACTTGACTTTTACCTCACATCATACATAAAAATTACCTTCAGATGGATCATAGACCTAAACCAAAAAAAGCTAATACTATAAAACTTCTAGGGAAACATAAAAGAAAACCTTGATGATATCAGGTTAAGCAAAGATTTGTTAGGACACAAAAAACATAAGCCATAAAAGAAAAACTTGATAAATTATACATAATTAAATTTAAAACCTTTGTTCATCAGAAGATACTGTTAAGAAAATGAAAATGCAAGTCTCAGACTGCCCCCCCAGCTTCAAGTGATTCACTGTGCCTTTCTCCGTGTCTTTTTAAAAATATATGTTTGTATTTATTTCATAGAGAGGAAGGGAGAGAGAGAGAGAAACATCAGTGATGAGAGAGAGTCATTGATCAGCTGCCTCCTGCACGCCCGCGACTGGGGATCGAGCCCACAACCCAGGCATGTGCCCTGACTGGGAATCAAACTGTGACCAGGTTCATGGGTCAGTGCTTAACCACTGAGCCACACCGGCTGGGCTCAGTTTCTTTCTTTTTTTAATTTATAAAGGTTTCTTGTAAAATACAAATTATGTACATTATAAAATTCCATGAAAACATAAGTCATTATTGTAGTTTTAAGAGCTGTCAGCATATCCTCTTAGCTGTGGGTAGGTATTTCTTAGTCACCTTGCTCTCACTGTACACTATGTTTGTTAAACTGGGGAGGAACAAGATAAAAGACAAAAACTTGCCACTCTGTGCGTGTGTGTACCCCCACAGACACTGTTCCTTTTTGTAAACTTTGAACCAGAGAAGTATTGTAAACATAATGTAAACATTAGAAACATTCTACTAGTCCTTTTTATAAGCTTCTAGAACTTTGGAAAAGAGGATTTTTTTACTTTTTAGCCCTCTCAGAAAGTAAACCACTTTTATTTATCAATCTTAACCCCTTTTATTTATCAATCTTGGACACAAAAAGTAGTTTCCGCCCTGGCCAATTTTGCTCAGTTGTTAGGGTGTCGGCCCTCAGACCGAAGGGTCTTGAGTTCGATTTCCAGTCAAGAGCATGCACCTCAGTTGTAGGTTCGACCGTGGGCCCTGGTCAGGCTTCTATGGGAGGCAGCCAGTTGAGGTCTCTCTCTCTCTCTCTCTCTCTCTCTCTCTCTCTCTCATCGGTGCTTCTCCCCTCCCCGCTCCCAGGCTCTGGAAAGCAGTGGAAAATTATCCTCAGATGAGGATTGAAAAAAAAAAGCAAACAGTAGTTTCCTATAAAAGTCTGTTTCTATAGAAAAAGTCACTTTCTTTTTAAGTTTCTGTAAATAAAATGATTCACTCAACCTAAATTTTTGAGCATCTATACAGTCAGTATTATAGAAGGTCATAAAGATGACAAAACACGGCTCATGCCCTTAGCCAGCACACAGCTTAAGAAAACATAAGTCCCATCTCCCTGCCTGTTCTTCCTCCACACACACACCCCTCCAAAAAGACAGGGTAAAATGTGATTGTTGCAATAAAAGAAAAGCGACACAATTCCTAGTTGGGGAAATACATTATGAAGGAGAAGGAAGTTAAGCCGGACTTTGGAGACTGAAGATTAGATTTCAACAGATGGAAATAACAGGAAGGACATTCTGGGCAGGAGAAATAGCTTAAGGCAAAGTGGGAGGACGTGGGTGACAGGCAGGCATTGTGGCTCATGTTCAGGCAAGGTGGACAGATATGCTTGGGTGAAACCATTTTTAATTCAAAAGTTTAGGAACCTGCAATAGTTTTGGTCCTACTGTAAATAGCCTTGAATACTAAAATAAAGTCTTAGATATTATTCATGAGACACTAGGAGGCAATTATAAGTTATTAAACAGAATGTAACATGATCATAGATGTGCTTAAATTAGCCAATTCAGTGGTTTGGAGGGGAATTGGAGTCCAGGAAACCAGGTAGGAAGCCTAGCAGTAAGTAGGCATGCAGCCCAAAGACCTTCAGAGTCTGACAAAGAACTAGGATCATTCAGTGACACATCATCAGCCCCCAAGAGGGGTCAGCAAGTTTCATGAAGAAAGGGAGTGGTCACTAGTGGGAATTATGCCAGAAACAGCTATTAGAATAAGATTGAGAAAGAGTTTGGTAATAATCATTGAATTACAACCCAACGTCTGAAGTAAAGATCCATGAGTCCATATTGATTAAACAGATGGTTATCCCAGCTGGCGTGGCTCAGTCATTGAGCATCGACCTAGGATCCAGGAGATTGAGGTTCAATTCCTGGTAGGGCACACGCCCAGGTTGCGGGCTCAATCCCCAGTAAGGGCGTGCAGGAGACAGCCAATTGTTGACTCTCATTGGTGTTTCTCTCTCTCTCTCCCTCTCCCTTCCTCTCTCTGAAATCAATAAAGACATATTTTTAAAAACAACAGATGATTGGGTGGATGGATGGATGACAGATAGATGATAATGATAGATAGATGATAGATGATAGATAGATAGATAGATAGATAGATAGATAGATAGATAGATAGATAGATGATAGATAGATAGATAGATAGATAGATAGATAGATAGATAGATAGATAGATAGATAGATGATAGATAGATAGATAATAGATAGATAAAGAATAAACAAGTCTCATGCAGAAGAAGTCCAAATCATTTATGTAGATACTCCATTCTTAAAGAGGGGTGCAAAAAAACCTTCACCTCTTAAGTGTGTGCTGTTCACTTTCCAAAGAGTCTAGTGTGGGAAGTTTGGAGGGTGGGAAAATAAATTTACAGTGGAGAAACATAGAAAACACTACCCACAACCAGGTGATCCAGGTCAATATCAACAGTCATAAGTCATGTTGATAGTATGTACCCTTGGTATGATTTGATGAAATTACACTTTATCCCTATAGTTTTCCTACCAAAATCCATAGCGCAAGTTTAATCATCACAACCCCATCAGACAAATTCCAAGAGAAGGCATCCTACAAAATACCAGACTAGTATTCCTCAAAGCTGTAAGGTCATCAGAAACAAGGAAAGTCTGAGAAACTCCCAGGCAGGAGAAGCCTAAGGTGACGTAATGACCAATATTATATAGTATCCTGGATGTGACCCTAGAACAGAAAAAGTCATTAGGTAAAAACTAAGGAAATCTGCATAAACTATGGATTTTAGTTAATAATAATGTATCGATAGTGCTTCTTTATTGGGGGTTATAGAATGATTTTCTTGTACTACTGTATTTACAAAGAAAGCAGACAGTGCACTCAGTACAAAGAATAAAAATGTATTCGGGGTTTTATTTTTCATTGACAGCAAATAAAAACCCGTTAATGAGATGCCATTTTGGGATCTATTAGTAATAATATCGAATAATATTCTAAGTAATATTTAAGTGTCCAGATGCTGGTAAACACATGGTGAAGTTGGATGGTGCATACATTGCTAATTTCTAATGGCTAATGTAAATTGGTATAACCTTTTCGGGAAGGACCTAAATTTTATTTTACTAATGTATAGAAATAAGTATCCCAAGAAATTATTCAAAAGCAGGATATAGAGTCCTGGCCAGGTAGCTTAGTTGGTTAGAGCATAGTCCCAATATGCCAAGATTGCAGGTTCAATCTCTGCTCAGGGCACATACAACAATCAGTGAATAAATGCAAAATCGATGTGTGTCTCTCTCTCTCTCTCTGTATGTCTCTCAAAACAAACAATAAAAAGTAAAGGAAAAAAAACAAGATAGAGATAGATAAATAGATATAGATATACATACACACACATATACATAAATATGTTCACTGCAGTGTTAGTAACAAAAAATGGAAATCTAGTTATAAGGGGCTGTTTAATAAATTATGATTCATTCGTTCAATAAAACAACAGTTTTTAAATTGTGTTCTGAAGATCCCCCAGAATCCTAGCCCCTTCTGGGGGGTCAGCAAGATTTTTATCAGTTTTAGTTTCTAATGCAATAAGTATCAAGAGGTATAATCCACATAAGCAAAAGCTCATTAGCTTTTGAGCTCAGCGGTTGAGTGTTGACCTAGGATCCAGGCGATCGGGGATCGATTCCTGGTCAGGGCACATGCCCGGGTTGAGGGCTCGATCAATGACATCTCTCATCATTGATGTTTCTATCTCTTTCTCTCCCTCTCCCTTCCTCTCTCTGAAATCAATAAAGATATATTTAAAAAAACAAACAAAAGCTCATTAAAGTCCTCAGTGATTTTTTAAGAGTGTAAAATGATTAAGACCCAAAAAGATTCATAATCACTGTATTGAAATAATAAACATTTTATTGTTATAATTATGAAGACATAGAACATGGGGAAATAATTTTGATGATAGTGAAAAGAAATAGAATTTAAAATGGCATAATCACTCATCATAACAATGGGAAACTTGGCCAAAGATTAGACAGGTGCATAGAAAAATGAATGCATTTGGTTTGGTAGGTGCCTGGGATGGAGAGATTGTTTATTCTATTACTTCTGTAGTAATATGATTAAAACATTTTAATGCATTGCTTTTTCAAATTCTATACAATTTAATAGAATTACTCATACTAACATATTGAGAGTAGTAGATGGAGTTTACACATCATTTATATTTATGTTTAGAATTATCTAGAAAGTTTGAAGGATATATTCATTTTTAAAATTATACTCACTATATATATATATAATTATATATCCAATTAGTTAGCATTTTACAAGTATGTACAGTATAACAGATGCCTAAAATACCAAAAGAAATCTAGCTAAAATTAACTAATAGTTACCTGAATCTGTTCACAAACTGGATGATCAACATTATAGATAAATTAAGATCTGACTATATATTTTTTTACAGTTCTATTAGAAACAAGATTTGTTTTGTTTTTAGGAAATGACTATACCATGGTGCTTAAGGAGAGCAGAACTTGTGTTTAAGTGCGTCAAAGGTGAGCAATAACCTTATATTTAACAACAACCTATATTTCTTCCTCCCAAATGTTGAGAGTAGAAAGAATGTGAGTGTTACCCATCATCTGGTGCCTCAGTTAAATGGTGTAATAAGCAAATATTTTCATAATGGACTTTTTTTTACTTATCCTACTTATCTTTTACTAGTCACATTCAGCCCTCTTGAAATACAGGATATTTAGATATTATTTAGATTTTGCTCTGATTATAGGTTGTTCTTCGTTGCCTTTTTTCTTTAAAAACAAAACAACAGAGCTACATGTTTAGCCTTCAGTAACCTGTTTTGGCTTTATTGTGTAGAGACTGAATAGGACTTGAGAAGTCATAAGTAAGTGTGTTGACAGAGCAATGTTAAACATGTCTGGCATGAAGAATTCAGGATTACAAACATTTATCTGTCCTTTAGGCTTAGCCTCTCTTACAGTAAGTGACTACCTAAAATGTCAAGACATGAAGCCCCACAATGAAAATTCAGTTAATTTCATAAAGGACTGAGTAGGTTTGAAGACCAGAACTCATAATTCAGCAAAGTCTATTCTGTTTTAGGTTTCATGATGGAAATGGCTTCGTGGGATGGAGGAATTTCTAGGACAGTGCAATTTCTGGTACCACAGGTGTGTTATCTTAATATATCTCACCCCAATTTAATCTCAGTTACAGTATTTCCCACAGATATAGTGAGCACACTGCCCTAAACTCAGTATAAAATAACAAAATGCTAACAGTTTCCTCTGTTGTTTTAAGGGAGAAGTGTTTGGATACCATAAAGGCACTTAGTTTATTGTCAATAGTGTTAGCATCTACCACTCAGGGGATCTTTTTATTTAACCCCAAAACCAAACTTGACTCATCTTCCCTTCTTTTTTCACATTTATGTTAAATAGATTTTGAAGAGTTCATAAATAAGGGCCTTAGCAGAGAATGGTTCTGTATTCTGTGTAGACCTTCGCAAATTAGTGGTATTTTTATTATTGATTACACTAGTGTTAGCTAGGGTTTTTCTGATAATCAGACCTATTATTTGATAGAAACAATATAAGTCCCTAGAGGATGGAGCCAGGAAAACACCCCCTGCCTACAGCTGTGCAGTTAAATCCGTTGTGAAAGGTAATATTTACATATTGCACTCCATGTCTAGAACTAGTTCCATAATTTAAAATACTTTAAATTTTTTAAAAATCAATAATGATTTAACAAATACAAACTTTTTTTTTACCTCTTACAGAGTATTTCTGAAGAAATGTTTTATCAACTCAGTAACATGCTTCCCCAGATCTTCCGAGTATCATCAACACTTACTCTGACATCCAAGCACTAACCCTTAGAGATCACCGTGTTGGCAAAAGAGGATTATTAAACTCTCCAGGAACTTGCCTGTGCTGGGATTCTGTCAAGCAAAGGATTCCCAGAAAGAACTTGTGACCCATGCCGCAGATCAAATCATGATAGACGTCTGTTAAAAATTCATCTACTGTACAGGCTAGTGATCAGTCCCTAACATACACATTTATTGTGAAAGTCTCCGAAAAAATGTTTCTTTTTATCATATCCTACCTGTGAATATTAGTAGGTTAAAACTTCCTATATATCACGTATGGACACTTGATGTGGGAGAGTGTTCACTGCATTTTCATAAAGACATGTCTTTTCCCAAAGGTATGAATCACATCATATCATATGAATCATTTCTTGTACCTTGTAAAGGTACAAGACTTCATTTAGCATACAAATAAAATCTTTCCTCTATCTTATTTGCCAAGTGAAAATTAAAAAGCACTGAAGTATAGATTGCAAGTATGGACGTCTTGTGAAAATCATTTTGTATAAACAAAAATATATGACACAAAATTTTTAAAATTTTCCTATTTCAAAAACTTGCCTTTAATGTACTCTTTCTAAGGTCTTAAAAGTTCATAGTCAGAAAAAGACATTGGATTCTTTTCCTCTGTCTCGTCTTCCCTATGTGACTTGCCCTTGTCTGTTAATAACATTTCATGGGCTGAGAAAATAGTGTGCCTATCTGCAAGCCCAGTGGAAAGTTAGTCTATCCCAGCACCTGGTAGTATTTAGTGCCTATAAACATTGTGACAGTCAGACAATGAGGATCATTTTTATTTCTCCATCCTGCTCTCTGCATTCACAGGTTCTCTAACCATTCTTCTACTTGCAATATTTTACTGATAACGATGTCCCCATTTCTGTCTCTGCTGTTTCCTGTCTTTTTCCATTGTCTTTCCTTATAGAAATACTTTTTCAAATGCTGCATATCACTTATGTATCCCATCTATAACATTTGCAATAAATAGTGACTACATTGACCCCAGACATTTACAAAAGCAATAGTTTTATCAAATTCAAATTGTGTAGATGTTGTAACTGGCCAATGGGGTGATATGGAGGACCTTTGACATGATAAAATGGTATATCCTGATTCCAAGAAACAGAAAGCACTTGATTAGTATTCCTAAATGTAATACCTAGAGTAACTTTTAGTATGCAAAATGCTTCCCCATAACATGGAATGTGTCTTGATTTTCTACTCAAGGAAATGACTGTCGAGCAACAACACTAAAGACTACACCCACTCCAGACTGTGTCCATTACACACTAACACTTTCCAAATCCTTTTCCAAGGAACGTAGTGATCCCACCAAGAAAAAAGTAGGTATTCTGCCCTTAGAGCAAGAAATCGTCTTCCAGGTACTACTGTTCCATTAAGACAGATTCTAACACAAAGCAAAGTAGACAGGTAGAAATTAGGGGTGTGCTAGAGCAGCCTCAGAGACTGTACAAGTTTATAATGTGACAGGTCAAGTTGGAGGTGGGTGTGGGTGTAGTGGGGTCTGTCAATAAAGGCATTCAAAAAGAGGCATTGAGTCTCTGCACAAAATTTCTGTAGCTAAGTGTACACTCAGCAGCTTAAAGGGTGCATCCAGGGTCAGGGTGTAGGAGTTAGGGTTCATTCACAGAAACTTGGCGAATGCGGCTGCCCAACCCTCCCTTTGTCCCGACAAAGCTGTTTTATTAAATTATTTATAAAGTAGTGGCTTCACTCCAGGGCAGTTTAAAGTTTCTCTTTGGCCTGTAAAATGAAGATGAATTTTAAGTATTCATTGTTCACATGGTACTGTATTATGAGATATTACAGAAGTGATAAATTAGAATAATGCTTATGATGTTATATACCACTGATATGAAGGCACACTAAGCTAAAAACAAGTATATAATTTAAGGTAGTAAATATACACATTTAAATGGTGGGGATTTTAATGAAGCAGTGGATGAGGAAGTCTGGAGTTCTGCATTTGGACTGGGAAGGATGCAATTGGGGCCTTTTTCTGAGTGATCTAGGGGGCTTCTTGGAGGAGAGTGGTTTCAGGCACTTCATGAATGAAGTGAAGAAGGAACCTTAGTAGGCTGAGACTAGCAGGGACATTCTAGGTATAAGGAGCAGAAATAGAATGAAGGGAGGCAGTGATAAATGGTTAGAAATCGAGAAGCTGACCACAAGAGTCTCTTGGGGTGGGGATGGAGGGCCTGGGCCTTAGCACAAATAATGGTGAAGAGTCAATCAGTGAGCACAAGTTTTTCTATTTGTGTAAGCAATTAAATATTACCAAGACAAATGACAGTGAGGTCCTCAAGGCCATAAAAATATGCTTTGGAAATCACGCAGGGGCATTGAGCCTGAGGTCTCCATTCCTTGCTGCTCTTTCACCTCCTGCCCCATTTCTGCTCTCAAAGTACAAAACCAAGCAAGGCTGTACCTTCCCATCGATCAAGAGGTGTGGTACCAGCTGTCCTCAGCATGACACTGTGACTGGAATGGAAGAAATGCATGAAAAAGAATTTCAACAGAAACACCTGGGAGTTGGCAGATCTCTTACTGGCACAGGACACGCTATCTTTTGTGTCCTGGCTAATTCTCACAAGAAGAAAAAATGTTCCACGAAGGAAAGATGAAATCTACAGCAACATGCCTGCTCTAGAGGCCTTATAGGAATCAGCAGAGCTGTGTTGAAAGAGTGGACATGGATTAAAGCGAATTCTCAGGCAATTTTTCAGTTTCTAGGTGAAAATTATTGCTTTCTGTTACTTAGTTTTCCCATTTAGATGAAATTGGACTGCTTTGCTCAAAAGAAGTTATAGCTCTGTAAAAATCATTATCATAATTTTGAAATAATAAAAAGTATTTTACAATACCTATTTAAATGAAATAGAACCATTTCCAGCAATGATTTTCTGCCCTTTAACCATCAAAGACCATTTCCATTATCTTCCCCATATTTCCCTGAAATGCTTTGAAAACTGTTCATTTGAGCAGTGGTCTGTTCTTCATTAATCAAAGACATATTTGTGGAGCTGAGTGATTGAAAGAATTAACAGCAATACATAGCATCACATAGAATTATCATTGTATGATTCCACGCAAATTTACAAAAAACCTTGCCATTTTTTTTAACCTGTGAGGTCTCATCCTAGTGAAATGTGTTTCTGGAAAGATTTTTAAAATAGCTCAATGACACATTTAAGACATCTTTTTTTTTAAAATTGAAATATTTGGGGTTGTTGGGGGCAGAGATGTTGATCATGTTCCGTTGACCATGACTGTGAAAGGGGGGTGGGGGGCACCTAGTAGGAATAGGACCATAGTTGTTTAATGACTATTCACCTTACTATAGGTACGAGGTTTTTCTCACAGACCCTGGAAAACTGGAGGATATGCTGCAAGAAGAAAAAGCAGAGCTGTAAAAAAATAAGGGAGACACTGGGGCCTGGATGGGTCCATTGCTCAGAAAAGAAAATGCATTTTGAGAACAAAGGCCAGAATGTACTTTGGTTGCTGTGCCTGTAGTCTGACCCCCCCCACCCCCCGGGAGTTTACCTCAGGAATGCCTACCATGCACAGGTCCTGGCACTGGGGTAACTGANCCTCAGGAATGCTGACCATCCTCAGGTCCCAGGAACTGGCGGAACTGGGTTTTAACACCATAGAAAATTAACTACCTTGTTATCAGACTTCAAGATCCTGGAAGGAGACACACTGACCACAGACCCGGCAGCCATCCCCACTCCCCCACCCCCCTTGCATGCAGCCTTTCTTCCTTATACCCTATTTAATCAGCCGGCTAGTAAGGAGGGACAGAGCAGACTTCATGTGGACAAATCCCACTGCTCTCCCATTTTGTCGGCAATAATGGGACCAATGCTCATATTGATTCAACCTCGTCTCTGCTTAACTGGCTGAAGTAGTGACAAGCAACCCAGACCCATTGTGTCCGGTTTCAGGGTGACATTGGTTAATAGGATCATGGAGGTTTCAGGTGTGGATTTCTATGCTAGGATCACTAATTCCAGGAGCCCCAAGCTGGGGACCACAACTTTGGACAGAAATGTTCGTGTGAGAGTACGTTACAAAGGAAAGAGCCGAGGCAAAGACAACATACGTAGCAGACTGACCCTGAGGGATCCCATTCAATAAGTGTGTTTGCGGAGTTTCTTCCATATACAGAGGCACAATGCTCAGCACGGTTTGGCCTCTTCGAGGACTATACAAAGGTGATGGTACTTGAGGAACTGTTGGATTAAAGTAAGAAGACTTGGCAAGCTTTTCTGTGATCTGGGCTGCTGACAATCTCTAATGACCAGGACAGAATCCCAACTAACGCAGGGGAATGGATGAGCAGCCTCCTGAGCTTCCCTGCAGGATTAAGAGGTGTTCGTGGTGTCCTAATCAATATACAAAATTAAAATTATTGTGATACACTCCACACCTCTCTTGCTGGTTTTTTTCCTATTTTCTCACAGGAAAACGGTTCCTAATATTAAAATCTAAGACACATCAGGCTTTCTGATAGATCCATATCTAATATTTTCCAAACTTTATGCTCTATATAGTCAACCCTCATTAATCATGGATTCTGTATTTGTAGATTCCCCTACTTGCTAAAATTTATTTGCAACTACAAAATCAGTAATTTACGAAAGCACATAGTCATCTACAAAAGCACTAGTTTCAAGTTTCATCAAGTCCTAGTTGTGTGGCTCTTGTAACTGGCCTGCAGAATGAATTGGAGGACCTTTGGCAACACTTTTAGCATCATTTGTGGACATGTGCAAGGCAGTGAAAAATTTGAGACACCCAACACACACATTCCCAGCTGAGAGGAGCAAGGCGACCTTCTTCAGCTCTCATAAACAGGTGTCCTTTTCACAGTCTATTTACTGCCACATTTTTCGTATTGTCCTGCTTTTTGTTGGTGATTTTGTTATTTTAAATGATGTGCTGGCTAGTGTCCAAAGTGCAAGGAGGCTGTGACNATAAACAGGTGTCCTTTTCACAGTCTATTTACTGCCACATTTTTCGTATTTTCCTGCTTTTTGTTGGTGATTTTGTTAATTTTAAATGATGTGCGAGTGAAGTGCTGGCTAGTGTCCAAAGTGCAAGGAGGCTGTGATGTGCCCCATGGAGAAAATGCATGTGCTAGATAAGCTTTGTCCAGGCCTGAATTGTAGTGCTGCTCAACAATCAAATAAGGTGTCTTTAAACAGAAACACATGTTTAAAAAAAAGGGGGGGAGGGGGTTTAGGTTGATTGGCTGATGAAATGTGATGAGAGGCTTGCAGGAACCTAGCCCTGTATTTCTCCCAGGAGGAACGGTTCAGTATTCGCTGATGCAGTGTTCACAGCACGAGAATCACTGTAGGTGTGTATTCCCTCACGGGAAAGAGCCTAGGGAGCTATCTGGATCCCTTTGGCACATGGAGAATGAAACCTGCAACACATTACCAGAGAAGCAGACAGATCCTTCCTGGAGATGTTTAAGAATTAAGCAGAGCCCTAGCTGGTTTGGCTCAGTGGTTAGAGCTTCACCTGTGGACTGAAGGGTCCGGGGCTCGATTCCAGCCAAGGGGACATACCTTGGTTGCAGGCTCAGTCCGCACCTTTTGCATGCAGGAGGCAACCAGTCGATGCATCTCTCTCACATTGATGTTTCCCTCCCTCCCCCCCTCTC